TCGATTAATTAGCAACCATGAGTGAATTATATGAAAGAGAGAGTTAATTAGAACACAATACGAATGGTGAATCGATCACAACCTTGGAATACTTGTCTCTACTGAATACACAACAATCAACTCGTTACTTGATAATTTAGTTATTATTTAGAATCGTAGTATAATATAATCATATTATTGGACTTTGATTTTAGCTTGATTGAATCACAATTTTAGTGATTTAGTGAGTAGTTTATACAAGTCTCTGTGGGTTCGACACTCAATTTATCATTATATTACTTGTCACCACGTATACTTGCGTGTGCGTTTGGGAGCAACAAACATCACTTCACTATAATGGCCAAGTTTCCTATGTAACCAATTTTTCATGTTATGTTGTACGTATGTTCTCTATAACAGCACAACACTATAGCATCCAAAAAATGTTCGGAAAAAACGAGGAGGTTTGCATGTATTAACTATAGAGATAGGCTTTCCTTTTAAATGACTTTTCTGAGCAATTATAGATAAAAATAAGATGCACCCAAAAGTCACGGATGCGGAATATATGCAGCCCTGATATCCACTAGGGCTATATCACCAGGTCTTGGACTAATTCCAAGCAATCGACACTTTACAAGATGACACAACTTAAATGGAATCATTTAGATAATCTCCTGGAAATTCTTCACCAATTGAATCTCCGTGTGAAGCATAACCGAAATTACAATGAAGTTGAGCTATACATGAAGTGGACTCTTTTCAACAACTCAGCTATCATAACAAAAATGAACTCTTTTGAATAAATCGGCAATTCTAAAAAAAGTTTATTCCTCCGCGCCAAAATGAGCACAAGTATATTTTTGAGATTAGAGATCTCTAGTAGAACCCCTATTTTTGCTTCTAAAGATTCGGTATTGAAATGAAATGTCCGAATTGAGCAGAATATGTGTAGATGATTCATATGGCCGACCCCAACTTGTTTGTGAGGGAGGCATAGTTAATTGGCTGATTGATTTTAGTGTGTATGTAACAGGGAAATGGTCATTGTGAACCAAGATAGTATGTTATAAATGTACAGAAAGCAAGTGTATTACGCTGAAATACAATATCATTGCTGTATGTCATTTATTTAATTTATTTATGGACTGCATTCAGCAACTTCACCACTATGTTTAAAAGTAACTTGAATTTTAAACACAAACTGCAGCCTCATGTATCTGCCTTAGATATGATGCTCAAAGATCCAGTATTAGTCAGACTATTTATCCTTATATATATAGATGTGAACAAACATTTTCTATTACAATGTAAATATTGCTCAAAACTCATTTATAATGCACTCAAGTACGCAAGTAAAGATTCAACTTTGTGGTAATAAATGATACCTCATTTGTCTCTGAGCCAGTTGCTATGTAACCATCAGCTACAGATAGGCCAACGAAGTTCTGAAACAAAGAAATGCTTTCATCAATAGCAAAGTACATTCAGGCACAATTACGCTACCATGGGAAAGGGAAGATACAAAGTACAAGTCAGGAGTAACTTGTAAGAAGAAATTAGAGACACAGTTTGGTTACTAACAATCATGTCTTAAAAAGAACAAATTGGAGGTAGTGTTGATGATACAAAGCATCTAAATTTATATGTATGGCGGAAAATCATTTACCCTTGAGCACATATACACACCTGTTTATGTAGATGCACAAGCTTACATTAGAAAGCAATACAAGTTTCATGCCAGTACTCTACCATTTGAATAAGTGCAATCAACCCATGGTGTATAAAGAGAGTACAATATGACATAAGAATGCTTGACGTGCCTCACAGATTTGACTCGGACTCGATTGTCTAGCTATCCTAGACAAGCTCGAACAAGAAATTCATTAAGCTTATGTTACGTATACACATTTTATCCCTTCCTCAGTCCACCTCTTTTTCTTTGTCTACTATTCTGATTTAGGCCCTGTTGCTGCCCCCACTCCCACTTTCTTTGTCGGCCTCTCTCCATACATTTATTTAGCCTACAACGAAAAAAACTATTCAACTCTCCGTTTCTAACTCATCTATTTAAAGTTCGTCATAAAAGTGGAATAGGAAGGTCCTCAAAGGTAGACTTGTTGCAGTTGGACCCATAGGTAGATTCTACAAAGGGTTGTAAACGAATCAAGCTGTTCGTCAAACCCGACTTCGCTTGTGGTATATAAGGGGGGATCAAAACTGAATTTGCGGTCATAAGGAGGATTGGGGTATGTTTGGGAGAGGGATGGGTTGACACTCATTTGGTGAAAGGCTACTAGCATGAGGAGGATTATGCAGGTATGCTAGCGATGTAGTTCGGAATAGATGATATACAGAGAATCAAACAGTTCAAAATTTGACTATGATTTTGTCAAACTTCTAAAAATATTATGACAATTGTGATTCACAGTATTTCGAGCTTGTACTACTCACAAACAAATATCCTATCCGAGTCTAGCTCAAATAAAGAATACGCTAAATAACTTAGGAACAGCCCCAAATATACATATTGATCTTATACTTGAAACTTGTGAGTGGGGCATGGTTGGGAAAATGGCAAATTCATCTGCACTCGATTTTGAGCTCACGTATCAGGTGAATAGAATTCACAAATTGTAGAGAAACTTGCAGAAAGATATATATTTTTTAAATATCAAGGGTGTACCTCACCTTCTTTTTCTTTAAAGAGATAAAAGAAGGAAAATTTAAGAGAATTGAACTCGTGAAGGATGTAAATGAGATGGCATTTTAGTAGATTGGATTTAACTTAATTGTACGGGCAACTTAGATTTCTCTAACTATACCCCGGAGAATGTTAAAAGACAACATACTGTTCAATGAGGTCACAGAAACAAGATCTTTATTCAGGTGATAGGATCAAAGTACAATACCTTTACATTCATATGACCAGTATAAGACTGAAGAGGAGAATCAAGAACACGAGACGTGCACGATGACAGATCCCACAGCTTTATCGTATTATCTGTAGATGCAGACACAAGAGTTGTTGAATCTATGAACTTGACATAGCTCACTGTCTTGTTGTGCCCAACTAATGTGCATAGCGGCAATTTGGAGTTTCGTAGATCATAGTAATATATCTTATGATCTGCTGAACCAAAAGCAAGGGCCCGTCCAGAATCAACGGGGAACTGAACACAGCAGACGTTAGCTTTTGTTTTTATGGTTCCAACACTTACTCCCTGCAGCAAACCAGGTAAGAAAAACCAACTTATTACACATCCACATTCAATCTATACAACAATAATAATTAGATGACTGTAGTACATTTAGTTTTAAAGCTGACATCCACCAAGTGCAAAAGTAGAATTGCCTGATTGATATTCCAAAGCTTAACAGAACCGTCATCGCTCCCACTCGCCAACATGGTTGGATCTGCTACGGAAAAGTCAACAGACCAAACGCGTTTCTCGTGCTCTCTCATCTCCATGAAAAGCTGACTTCTTGTGACATCCCATACCTGTATCATATTTCTAAGCGAACTTCTTTCGGATTCTGTTAAATAAAAAAGCAATAATGATCATGAATTTGACATACCTGCACCACACCTTCAAAGTTACTTGAGGCGAGCTGGCTCTTGATATAGCCATTCCAACATATACTGCTTAACTTTGATCTATTAGCCATTTCAGCGACTGGATAGTGTATATCACGATCCGCATTTAGAATTGAGTTATATTCAAAAACTTTGATCTTCTTATTTACGCCGGCAGTTGCAAAAAATTCACCATCACGATCAAAACCGAGAGAACATACAAGATTGGAAGAGTTCAGAAGATCCCCTTGCCTTAAATCTGCCTTCACTTCTAACTTGCTAAAAGAAAAATACTTGCACAGACCCTCTAAGTACGAATTGATAAATCCACTCTGTCCATCCTCCTTACACCCTCTTTTTGATGACAAATTACTCAGAGAACTCCTTTCAGTAGCTGTGCCGGAACTTCTACATTCCGTACTTGTTTGACAACGTCTACTCGTAGATTTGTCCATTGTTTTAACAACCCTGCGCCTTGTCATGAAATAAGCTGTCTCCAATTTTCTGAAGTTCTTCATCAAACGGGAACTTTTTGCTAAAATGCTGCCTTTATATTCAATTTGCCTTTCGGGTTTCTGGCTTTCATCTTGATGACCATCGGATTCCTCTCCTGTGCCAAGCCTAAATCTCTTTCTAGATCCAGAGCTCTCGGAATCATCATCTTCAGTAATATCTGTCCTCCGCGGATTTAAGCGCTTAGCTGGTTCTAAGCTTGAGCCTCCTTTTATCTTAAGGGTTGTCTGCATCTTAAACGCCTCTTCTATATCAGACGATACAAAAGAAACAATTTCTTGCAAATTTTCTACAGCTTCCTGCTTTCTCTGTTGGATTAGCAAAAGGAACTCCAGCAATAATTCCTGCTCATCTATTTTTTCTCTAAGCTCTATTGCTGCTTCACGTTCTTCTAAGTCATGTCTTGGAGTTCTAAGGAATTCACTTTCTAGCAACTCGCTGTCATCAATTGAAATGAACAAATGAGGAGAGACTGGGAAAGAATCAAGGATATTGGTGTTAAAATCACTACGGATTAAGATGATCAATTGCATAATATCCATTTTAATGAAAATTCGATGAAAGAAGCAGAGATAGTAGAAAGTTCAAGAGAGTGATGAGACGTCCGAAATGCATTTCATCATTAGAAAGGGACTCACAATATTCAGATAGTACTCATTAGTAGATACCTCTTTTGTGTCATTATTATCTATTTTCTTTTACTATCAACAAGTCTTTAGAATTCTTTTCCCTTACCCTTCTTTCTACTTTGGATGAAACAACAGATCTCCTTATCAATAATCAATAAGGTTCAAGATACACATTGAACCGGAAATCAGCAATGATTTTGCATATTGTCACTGAGACAAGGCCTAAAGAAGAGATTGCAAGATGCAGAATCAAGCTGTCCACAATAGCTAATTATGTGTGAAATCTAGTGCTGTCATATCTTCAACTATAGGCACCCTCAGTGGGTGTAATTAGTTAACTTTCTCACAATGTATATGATCTTACTCCCAAGACGTAAAGCCATTGCATCGACCAATTTTCTTAATGAAAAAAAAGGGATACTGCTGTTGCAAGACATGTAATAGTTTTTCTGGTTTGATAGCAAAAAAACTAGAATCAAGGTTCTTAAGGATGATGTTATAAATCAGAAGTACATATTAGAAGACTACAAACTGATTAGGTTGCATAACAAATCGAGAATGGAATGAGTTAAGGGAAACTTTCCGAGGCAAAAAGAATAAACCAAGTGGGCGTGAAAAAAGAATGCTCACCCCATTTTTGGCCGACTACTTGGTTCCGGATGTAATAACCATAAGCAAAATGAAGCTTCTTTAGGCCATTTCAACAACAATTGTGGGGGTAGGACACGATGTCTTAAACACGACATAGTTGCAATTTTCTCATCCGATGAGTTGAAGGTACAAAATAGCTGCTCACAAATTATAAGCATCAATAAGATAAAAAGATCATCATAGAACAACAACAACAACAACAAACCCAGGGAGGGTAGTGTGTACACAGATAGAGAGGCTGTTTCCGATAGACCTCGGCAAAAAGATCATCATAGAGAACACTAAAATTTAACCAAACACATAAATTTTGCTAAATGCTACTAAGTACTAACCTCAAAGAGAAGGACTCCGAGTCGATAAATGTCCGAAGCACAAGTGCCAGGAGCACCATCAACCTCTTCTGGACTATTATACCAATTAGTTTCCAAGTGCAATATCTGTTTCATTGGAAAAGTATGCTTCTTTTCTTCAACTTGTCTGTTCTTATTAGCTTCCAAAGTCTGCACCATATGACCTGAACTTGACTGCAAACAACTGCTATCAGATACTATGCCAGATTCAATAGGCAAAGGTGAAGATGAACTATTTAGTCCATCTTCACACGAATCGGACCCCGAATCGGAGCAGGATGCAGATTCAATAAAAGCAACACGGTTGAAAGAAGACATGACAAAACATGATGGTCTCACATTATGAACAACTATCCCCTGAGTATGTGCCAAGTTTACAATCTCTACAATTTGAGTAAATATGTGCAAACATTCAAGAACATCAACATTTCTCTCTGGATTATCCAACCAATGTCTCAAACTAACATCTTTACTACTACTACTATTATTACCTATTGTTCTCCTGTCTTGTTGATCTTTAAGACAATTCACATCAGAAAATCCAGAATCATAACACAATCTTGAATTCCTATCCACAACACCTGAAGAATTCAAACCCCTTGAATTTTCAGACCTCTCCCTACCAGACTGAGATGAACCCTCCATTTTTTATCCACGTATAATTGCATGTAGCTCAATACTCAAACCCACAAAAATCAAGAAACTGTGAAATTTTCATACTCCTACCACACCCTTTTACTAAATATGTACAAATATTAAATTTCGAATGGAGCTCATAAACTCCTGTATGATTCCAACATAGCCATGTTGAATCAAGAACTCATTTTTACAACACAAATAGTTCAAATCATCAATCCCACAAAATTCTGTGATATCAGTTATCTTTCCTTAAAAAAGCACAAAACCTAGCTATTTTTAACAAAGAAGCATTAGATATCTGAGGAAAGACTAAACAGCACCGCCAAAAATAATATCAGCAGAAAGAAGCTGAGTTTGTACTACCATTATATCAGCTAAAAGCAAACAAAAAAACAAGAACCACACAACAGATACTGTAGTTTTAGAAAATACAAAACATTTTGATTTATTTTATTGTAATAAAGAAGTAGTAGTGTACTACAGCCTCACAAAATTAGGTGAAAATCTTTTCCTTTTCTGACAGGATGTATGAAAAGAAAACAAGTCTTTCCATATATGGAAAAAATGATAAAAAATAAAAAGAAAAAGGAGTTTATTTTATTAGAAAAAAACACAGTGCTACTGTACAGGACATTAATTTAATGATGTCAATTGATTTTTAATTTTTATATTCCTCAAAGGGGTCCACTCATTATCTACAATCCACTGATTTTAGCTTCTATTACATCTCATATACGTGGCACTTTCACATCCTCAAAGCTCGCTGTTGGCAGTGAGGCCAAATAGTAATGTAGCTCACCTCCTGTGGACCAAATTCCAAAAAAAGAAAAAAATGGTTAAGTGCATATAGTCATTCTCGCCATGTTTATTTAGAGGTTAGTTAATATTTATTTTATTTTAAAATTTAAAATTAAAATTTTTAATTTTAAAATAATTTAAAGTATTTTTATCTCGAAGATTTAAATTGAAAAATTAAAATTCATGATACACTAGTTAATTTTTAAATAGCAACCTTTTAAAGTAGCTATCTGGTGTCATTTCTACGGAAAAAAATCTCATACCAATTTATATAGTGTTTGATTGAACATAATTTTTTTTTAAAAATTAAAATTTATAATATGACAAAGATTGCTCTAGTGGTGAGCACACTCCACTTCCAACCAAGAGGTTGTGAGTTCGAGTAACCCCAAGAACAAGGTGAGGGTAGAGGTAAGAGGAGTTCTTCGAGGGAGGGATGCCGAGGGTCTACCGGAAACAACGTCTCTACCTCAGGGTAGGGGTAAAATATGCGTACATACTAGTCTTTCCAGACCCCACTGGTGGGATTATACTGCGTTGTTGTTATTGTTATTGTAAAATTTATAATTTAAAATAAGTTATAATAATTTATATTCTCTAAATTATTTCATTGAAAATAAGGAAAAGTTTATGTTGCTATTGAAAAGTCATCTCCCTGTGGAGTGTGGACCAAATTCACATAAAAAAAGTTTTGCCATCGCAATTTATGTTCAAAATATATAATATAAAATAAATTATAAATATTTCTGTGGCTTTAGTCTCTCAACTAAAGTAAAATAAAAAATTTAGAACTAATTAATTTTTAAAATAATAATATTTAGATATTTTTTTAACAGACTAAAAAAAATATACCAATTAAATTGGGACGTAAGGAGCATATTTTTTTAAAACATCAACAGGTGAGTACTGGGAGCATTGAACAAGGACCGTTGATTTTCAAGATGACGAAGTACTCATTGACTATATTTTCTGCTTTTTTAATTATTAAATTCTTGTGGTCATAGTGCTAAGTACTAAGTATCTGTAGAAAAAAAACGTGCAGGTCTATAGTACATATTTATGAGGCATAGTGATATTGAATAAAAAATAGGGTACCGATTTTACGTCATCGCTTAGATAGAAATTTTGAGCCACTTGAATAAAAAAAACTAAAGATAACGCAATTGAGAGGTTTCAGATTTGATTCATTTCATTACTTTAAACTAAAAATGGCACTTTTTTCTTGAACCCTTTTTAAACCCTTGTCAGCAAATTGGTTCAATAGAATATTTTTACCATTTCATGCAGTCGAATTCGAATCAGTCTCGTTACGGTTTTACAAAATATTCAGCCTTAGATTTGTTCCAACTCTATGAAAATAGCAGCTATGCCCAAATAGTATTTCTTTATTAAAAGGATATGCACAACATTATAATATGATATACTTATAATTGATCACGGAATACGTGTGTGTGATTATACTATATAAGAAAAATAAAACTATATAGCCGCTCTTAAAATAATAAGCGAAATATATATATAATTTTGTATATATATACATTTGGTATGTTATGTACAAAAATTATACAAATTTTATATACTTTTTCGACTATCGAATGTCAATAGTTTCTGGCGCAAGCTAAAGTATTAATATGCTTATATATCAACAATAATAAACTCATTGTAATTCTACAAGTAAATTCTGGAAAAAAAAATAGCTTTATGAGCTAAAATTCTAAATATATAATGACTAGTAAATTAAACCGCGCGAGCAAAATGATTTGAGTATTTGACTATCTAACTAGAGATTTGTAACTTAAGTAGTTTTGTTACAAGCAAGAAGAGGAATGGAGAAAGCTGACGATTACATGAAAGTTCGTACTATCAATGTGGAATTAAAAAATGAGGCGGTAGTATCATTGTTCTCCGCACAGCATTCGCAATCATTCTGTATAAATAAAAAAATTGTTTTCTCTTTATCCTACTTTATGTATCATATTTTTATTTTACTTTATTTTAAAAAGAATTTTTTATTTGTTATTTAAAATAATTTAATTTAAAATTTATACTTATTCTTAATGAGATGGTTTATAGTTGTTTACCCTTAAAATGGATAATAATTAGATTTGTACGCGGTTTTAAGGATATGTGGATAGATTCAATACAAGTAATCATGAATGTTAGATAAACGAATTAAAGATGAAATCAATAACCAAACCAGTTGTGACATTGAGTCTGGGCTCGGATTTAGCTTAATAGTGGTTTTACCCTCAATCGGGCCCTCGATTTGAAGCCAAATTTGTATGGAGAACTATGAATAAAGTAAGAACCTTTCAATGGCTAGAAAATAGAGAAGTTTGTATTGCCTTGATATGCGTGTTACAATATATATATATATATATATATATATATATTGAATAAGAAACCTTCCCTTTATATAGTAAGAGAATTTTACTCCTAGTACAACTCTAAAAAGGGTAAAAATCCTTCTTGTACATCAAGCACTGATACGCTACCGGCGTCGGGCGAGATCCACGCCGTGATATCCGATTGGATGCGAATATCACGACCCTCTGTTAGTTGTGTGCAACCGTTTGTAATGTTTTTCGAGGTCTTCGAACTCGTTCCGGGTTCGGGGGTGTTGTATTGTCGGGCCCGGTGGCGAGCACCCTGTTCCGGCCTTAAACCAAAGAGTTCTCAGATTTGTTCTCTATCTCGTACATTCGTACTTCGTCTAATTCACCGAGAACTCGGGGTTTGTGCTGACCCCGAGTTCACCCGTATACAGATAGTCCCCTCGTTTCTCAGAGAGTAGGTTTGGCGAAATGATGGGAAACGATAGATGTACCACGGTTCCTTACTTCGTACGTTACAACCAAGACAATAAAGAAGCCAAAACTGTTTGTTAGTTGTGTGCAACCATTTATAATATTTTCCGAGGTCTTCGAACTCGTTCCGGGTTCGGGGGGTGTTGTCTTGTCGGGCCCGGTGGCGAGCACCTTGTTCTGGCCTTAAACCAACGAGTTCTTAGATTCGGTCTCTACCTCGTACATTCATACTTCGTCTAATTCACCAAGAACTCGGGATGTGTGCTGAGCCGAGTTCACCCGTATACAGATAGTCCCCTCGTTTCTCAGAGAGTAGGTTTGCCGAAATGATGAGAAACGATAGATGTACCACGGTTCCTTACTTCGTATGTTACAACCGAGACGATAAAGAATCTGAAACCGTTTGTTAGTTGTGTGCAACCGTTTGTAATGTTTTCCGAGGTCTTCGAACTCGTTTCGGGTTCAGGGGGGGTGTTGTCTTGTCGGGCCCGGTGGCGAGCACCTTGTTCTGGCCTTAAACCAACGAGTTCTTAGATTCGGTCTCTATCTCGTACATTCGTACTTCGTCTAATTCACCGAGAACTCGGGGTGTGTGTTGACCCCGAGTTCACCCGTATACAGATAGTCCCCTCGTTTCTCAGAGAGTAGTTTTGCCGAAATGATGGGAAACGATAGGTGTACCACAGTTCTTTACTTCGTACATTACAACCGAGACAATAAAGAAGCCGAAACGACCCATCAGTCGCGTCATTCTGACTTTGGACATGTTTCAACCATCGGTTGGTCACCTCTGAATGTGAAACGTCGCATAATGATTAGGTTTTCTCCTATAAAAGCTTCGACCTTTTGTACTTCTTCCACTTTCTGATCTTAGATTTTATCTTCGTATTCCCTAGCAGCCACCAACTCTTTTAAATCTTCATCTCTTTACCTTTGATCTTCAAATCTTCATAACTGTTCTTAAGTTTCTACCCAGATCTTCATCCTACCTTCAAACCTTTATATCCTTTCCTTCAAACCTTCATATCTTTCCTTTAAATCTTCTTATTCTCAGATCACAATGGCCAAGACTTCCAAATCAGTTCCTCAGCAGGCTGCCTCTTCATCTTCTCACCCGGCCATAGGTGTGAGCACGTGATTTTTGTTTTACGCGACAATCGCTCCAAAAGAGTTAAAAATGTATGTGTCATGCGTAATTTAAACCATGACCCGTTTGTTAGATGGAAAATTACAAAAAATACGCATTTTTTCTTCTGTCCTGATTTGTTGCCTTGTTTAATTTTACCTACTTTTAACATTTTATACGCGTGAAATAAATATGTTAAGTGTTAATTAGTGGTGCTTAGTTTTATTTAATTAGGTTGTGTGTTTAGGAAATTAGAAATAAAGAAAAAGAAGACAAAATTTGTTGTAAAATGAATTTGGGCCGTGCCCATTTCAAAATCTGGAACCCAAGCAAATAGCCCAATCCACCGGTCCACACAGCCCACTCCCCAGGCATCAAAACGACGTAGTTTAACACCAAAACTACGTCGTTTCAATGCCAATCCATCCCAACCATTCAAACCAAGCTGATCCAACGGTCCGGATCTCTCACCCATAACCCCATTTGCCCGACCCGTTACCCGAACCAACTCTGCCCCTAACACTTGAAACGACACCGTTTCCCTCAAGTGGAAGGATCTTGGCCCTTCGTCATGCCTCATCCAACGGCTGAGGTCCATCCACTCACTCCATATATAAGCTGCCCCTCATACCCCACCCC